CCCCCCCCCCCCCCCACCCCCACTGTCTACTGGGTTTCCACACAGCGGGCAAGACCACCTCTCGCGTGTATTTTCTCATGAATGTTTCACACCTGTTTGAAACGGCAGCCGTCGAGGCTTTCCTAACTTTCCTCTTGAAATATACTTTGCACTGAAGTTTAGAATGTATAGTTTAATTTTAGTCTCCATTTCACTTAACGCAATTGGCAGTATTATTATTTGTTTTGTTGTGTATTATTCATGTGCTATTGTGTGGTGATGAGTCTGTTTAAAAGCACTTCTTTATTATTATCATCATTGCTGCCACCTTTGTTGCAGGAAATCCAAGAATGTGTGTCCAGGTTAAAGAGAGATCCCAGGGATGCACTCCAGAAGTGGCATCTTTGCCATCCTGGGAGATATGCATTTACTGGCTGCTTTCCTTTGGCTCTCATTTATACTCTTTTAAGGAACTTCACAGATTTTCCAAGGGTAAGATTTTCTGCTTATATTTTTATGTTATTTTCACTCCATTTTACTCCATTCACTCCATCTGTAATCTTGACCAACAGGAAATTAATTTAAGACAGAAATTAGGCATCCATTTAAATACGGAACGACTTAAAGAGCAATCTGAAATCAGTGTTGTCCATCTACTGTGCATCCTTTCTCCAGATCTAGTTAAAGGCCTTGCATTAAACTTCACAGCTACACTGGGCTGGCTGCCTTTGCAGTATCTAGCTGACTGTACTGCATCGTTGTATTCCAACAAGTGCTCCCTCCAAGACTGAAAATGAACGTGTAGGCCAGAAAGGCACCACCTGCGAGGCAGTCCTTTCATCCCGCACACTCAAGAGGCACATACAGAGAGAAAACAAAAAATAACCTACTGTGTTTACTGCAGTGGTGCGTTAGGAATGAGGTGCCTCCAGAGGAGAATCTAGAAGTGAAAGGAAGCAAAACACACCGGCTGGAAACGTTGTTGAGTGTGTATCACACACTGAAACTAACAATGAGAAAATGCAGATAATGCCCTTCTTACAGAACCGGAAAAAAAGTAGATCTAGACGGAGCCTCGCATAAACATCAGGGTTTTGGTCTTACATGGAATAGACTGAATTGGAAAAGTTGGACGTACTTTGCATCAGGAATAATTGGAGCTTGTCCTTATGTGGAGTGGAAGTGAAAACGAGGCCAGTTGAAGGCTCCTAACACCTATGAATGTGTCCAGTTCTCTAATCGGTTGTCTTCCCCCAGCATCAACATCACAGACATTAAAAATACTGTTAAAAAGCTGCAGTTAGAAAAAGGTTCCAGGTAACAATTAGCCAGCAGAGAGACGTGAGATGATAAAGACTTCAGACAATCTAAAATTATGTTACAATGCAAATCTGATTCATGCAGTTTTTCTAATCCAAATCCTTTATGGATTCTCTACAATTTCCCCAGAATATTTAAAAGCAATGGAAAGAAACAGATTATTTTTTGTTTTATTCACGTCTCCAGTTCTTGATAGGTTCAGTTATTAACTGGGTAGGGCAATATTTAACTGAAAGCACTCTGAACCTCCAGTTGATTGACGTTCTTGTCTATGAGCTTCCCACTGTTGTTCAGTGGCTGATAGTAAGCAAATGACTCATTCAATCAAGAAATTAAGAGGGATTGAAGACCAGCACCTCTTCTGTTCTTCAGAGACTGGCACTGTGGCACTGAATAGTTCTAAACCTGGAAATGTACACCAGGAGGTTATGTTTTATAATATACATTGCTGATTCCAAAGAAATTGATCACTGTTTTTCATAGACATTCACAGGTATGGTAGGGAGACAATTATGAGAGCTAAATTTGTTTAAGACGTATTATAACATCATTCATAGTATTATATCCGCTATGAGACTAGACAATTATGACAGCCCAAGTCCTATTAAAATCGACAGCGAGATAGATCTTTCTTTATCTTTGTTTCCAGGAGGGTTTAATGTTTCATCCTCTGGACATTTATGTGCATGTGTAGTGAATGAATGCCAGGCCTCTGTCTGTCTGACTTCCATTAAATCAATGAAATAATCTCTGCAACGTGTTCGAAATTGTAATGGCATGACCTGAAGTGTATGGAGAACACGCATTTCATTTTTGTAATTTTCAGGTGTGGCGAGACAAGATATCTCGGACAACTGCAAAGGCAGACCTTCCCTTGCGAGCATTTGGAGATGAATAATTGATATGCAAAGCAGACATGCGCAAATAAAGGACACAGTTGTGGGGCTGTAGCCCAGAAGGTTCCTTAAAGAAAATCCTCCATGAACTAAATGGATAGTATACTGTGGCTGCCATGTAAAAGCCTTTGTGCTACTTGAGTCATTTCTGCCTGGAAAAATAGCCCTTGAGAGAGGCTTTTGTCTGCCCAGCATTTATATATGGACAGGTACCTCCTACTGTCTCTCTTGTGTGGGACCTGTAAAATCTCTGGAAGGTTTTGCTAGGCCCTGAAACTTCCTGTTTTTCCTTTTCCGTTTATTTTTGGCTTTCCTGCTTGTCTGGTAAAGTAAATTTGAATTTTCATTTATGGAGTCTCTTACCACCCCACCGAACATAGTTGACTTTGTTTTGCAGAGATAAATATAAGCGGGTATTTGAGCATGCCGAGAGTATGGCGAGGCACTGAAGTCATCATACAGCGCCTCTGTACGTTAGGATTCAGGAGCTGCAGTATGTGTGGCTCGTGATACTGTTGTCAAGGTGTGTGATCTGCAGTAGGAGATGCATGCTGGTTGAAATTATATTGTGGGGCTGAAACTCTTTTTAATTGAGCCGAGGAGAGAATAAATTGACCCCAGCGTAATTCTTCGTTCTTAATTCGCACGGAATTCTCAGGACCCATCAGTGGGAGGAAAATCCTGGCCTTCAAAGATGTGTACAAAATCCCTTTCCTTTCAGTCGATTTTTTTAGACTTGTACACTTGATGAAGATAAGCATATCCCCTCTGCCTGTTTCCACTTCAGTTCTGATCAAGGAAATGCATCGTTAAGTAATGAAACAGTTTGGTGGCATGATCACCTGCTTCCCTGCCACAGTGAATAGAGCCCAGTTTCCATTACTTACAGGTTATCCCAGCTGCTTGAATTGCTTGAATTGGAATAATGCAGTGTCGCCAGGTTCCTCACTAGGGGGCGCTGTGGTACCACATCTCCGTAGCCGCAGACTGCGCTGCTGTAGTGTCTTGGGATGAGAAACCCACGGAGGCGGTGGTGCATTACTGTGCGGTTCTAGATTGCGACTGCACCAGACAGGGATGCCTTCTGCTTGGGTGATGAGGTGGTCGCCTCAGGAAAAGAACGGGGGGGGAAGGAGCTGACACTGCACTGCAGAGAGGAGACCGGCGCAGGAGGAGGGCTGGGGACCAGCGCAGGGCAGGGAGGTGCTGTGGGGATTCCCAGTCACAGCAGAATGCCAATGCCGAGCACTGCATTTCATAACAAACAGACGGTGATGATGTGCTTTGCTCTGCGACAGAGAAGCATTTTAAAATAAAGCACAAACCAGCAACGTCTTGCTGACTGCCTATCGGCTTGCATTGAGCTGTTCCGTGGTTTAAATCTCGGAATATTGCAATGATTATTTTGTGTGGCAAAATTGTTTGCAGCTATTAAACAATAAATAAATGAATAAATATATACATACTATATATATTTTGATAAGGAAATTAGCCTAGCATAATTAGAATATGATGATAAGATGAGATCACTTTATTAGCCATATACAATTTCTTGCATTAGGAATTTGTCTTTTTGCACACCCCAGCTTGCTCTCCATGAGACACACAGACAGGGAGAGAAGCTTGGGGTCAGAACGCAGAGTCAGCCATTGTACAGTGCCCCTGGAGCAGTTAGGGTTAAGGGCCTCGCTCAGTGTTTGAGCCGGCAACCTTCCAGCCACAGAAGCAGATCCATAGCCACAGAGCCACTGCTCCGCCCTATGATAATGGTTTTTACTTGGCATGTAAGCAAACTGTTTTTTGTTTATTCCTAAGGGTCATATCTGAGAATTAACTCACCCCCCCCCAACTGAAATGTAGCACTCACCTGGTTGACCCACACCAGCCATTCTGCACCAGCAGCCTCATGCACAACAGATTAGCAGGTGACGTGAGGAATTGAATTAGGAGAACTTTAGGGAGCTCAGATAAAACAACAAAGAAGTTTGATGAAGTACAGGCTCAGTGATCATAGCCAGAAACTGGCGATACAGGCAGACCTGGCTGCCCAGAGAGGACAGGCTGTGCTCCCACTGCCAGTGGGGAAAAAATAGAGACAGGTACACTTCCTACTGCACTATGACAAAGATTCTGGGATTAGACAAACATTCTTCCCTAAATTTATAAATCTAATCCCAGAATTCCAAAACCTGCTAGAATCGCAACAACTCCCAATCCTGCTGGGAGAGGGAGGAGAGAACTCAGTTGAACTGGCAGCCCAGTATGTGATCTCCTGTCACAGCCTGAGGAACAGTGAGCCTGCCTCCCAGTAATGCTCCATATGTTTATATGTAAATATCTTTTGATTGTGTCTTTATTGTAAATGTCTGTTGATTTTTGTTTTATGATAATTGTATTTGTTTTGCTTTGGCAACACTGATTTTACTCATTGTTCATGCCAATAAAGCATCATGAATTGAATCAATACAAGCCAACAGTTGACTTGAGTTAGGAATGCTGAGTTTCACACCCACGTTACAAACAGTGCCACGGGATTTTTAATGAGGAAGTAGACCGGACCTGTTTGATGTCTCATCTGAAGGATGGCACCTCCGATAGGGCAGTTTTCCTGGTCACCATACCGGGGCACTGGTTTGAAAATCCTTGGACCTAATCCAGTTCTTCACTTGCTGTCACTGCCAGAAAGTGTTGTTGTCCAGCACTTGCAGGAACAAGGCCAGCCCCCTGCATGGAAAGTTTCTCGTTTTGCAATGCTAAGAAACCTGAAAGGAAGTTTTTTGTAAATTTCTATCATATTTCCCCTTTGACAGAATACGAAGAAGGTCTGATGAGGGAATTTGAATTTGAAAAAGGATTTCTGATTTGGGGATTCAAGAAGGTAATGTGTAATAAATATGCATTAAATCTTATCTGTTGGTAAAAATATAAAACGTGCACAAGCCTATTAAAATGTCATAGCTCTTTGGCTTTCTTCAAGATATTCTGTTCAGTTGACGAAGAAGGGGGAGTTGGTGTTTTATTTGTTCGTTTGCTTTGCTTCTAGCCTCTTAAGGTATTATTTAATTTTGTGCTTTTGAAAGATGCCTTAGCAATAGAGCTGGAAATGAAATTGCTATTTATTTTTGCAGATGCCAGTCTGCTTTAATCTAGAGGCTACAGTCTGATGTTGTGTCCAATATGATTTCCCTCTAGTTTATTTCTTGGCTCAGTGACAAAGGGTTTTAACCCTTCGTATCTCATTCTTGCTTTCATATGAAATGAAGTTGGGCTTAAAGGAGAAGTGTGGATTTATTCCTGGTAATGTTCACTACTGGCTCTGCAATGGTGTGCCCTACCGGATGTGTTCTCTTTATCACATGATCTTGTTTTGACCAAGGCTGCAAATTCCTACCCAAGATAACCATTCCATACCTCATTTCTATGTTTGCTGGTTTTGTCAGGACCCAACAGACTTTGAATGGAGTTTCTGGAATGAAAGGGCTAGGAAATCACTGCTTTGGTCTCTTCTGGGTCACGTGCTTGTCTCCAAGCTGGCTGGTTTCTTTGCTCCCAAGGTAAGATGCCCTATTCGAACTGTGCCTCTTCTTGTCATTTTAACATATGCCTCTCAGAAATGCAGAGATTAGTGGATTTTGCACGTGCACATTTTTTACATTACACCATTGCATATACCCATGGTCAGGAATAGTAAGATAAATGGTGTCAAGACTGAAGAAGTGTTGACATGGTCTTTTTTAAAAACCAAGAACTTTTGTGGACCTTTTTTATTTAGTCCAGTTATAACTATTCGTTACATTTCTATTACCTTGCATGCACAATATGTATTCTCACATTGTGGGCAGAAAATAAATGGTAATTATGTATTTTCTTGATGGAGCATGAACAGTTTTATTATCAAACACATTTCAGGTGTGGATCATTAAGAATTAGCGCTTCACATAGGCTAGTCTTGCCTTCCAGTCTTTTCAGCTTCAGGGAGAGGAAAGGCAGTGCCATGACCGTGTTTGACGGGGACCTGATAGTGGGCTCCCCAAAGCGTCGATGCTGGTGACTCATACGGGCCGCGTCTCCCCAGTGCAGGGCGGCTGTGCTCACGCTCTATGGCCTGCTGGCCGCTTGGTGTCTCCTGGGCGGGAGAGGTCTGGCCGTGGTTGCGCTGCACATGTGTGTGTCGTTCGGTGTGGCCCTGCTGAAGAGGCCCTGTCTCTGCTGGCTGTGCTCCCTGCTGCTGCTCTCGACCTTGCTCTTCGGCTCCCTGGAGGACATGCAGGTACAAAGATCCCCCCCCCCAGTGCCAGCAGCGGCGTCCCCTTTGCCTGCGCTCGTCTCTTTTATCACTTTTGTTTCTTTCCCCGTTTACGTCGCCGTTCTGGAATCATTGTTTGTTTTCCCTCTTCACCTCTGCTCCCAAATGATCTGACAGGTGGATATTCAAGCTGTCAGAAAGCTGCCCACAGCTATGTTGGGCTGCCAAGGTAGCTTTTAGGAAAATGCAGAAAAGCAGAACCGTTTGCAGACTCTAGCACCATGCACATTGGGAAGACGTCTGGAATCTGCCTTTTAATTTCTATTGTCAGCTCCACCACAGATTGACAGTATTGGATAAACCAAAAACTAACTTTGCAAAAATTGTCATTTAATTATCTGAGACAATAACAACAGAAACAGCCCTTTCTGGAACTGAACACGTTTTATGTTATATGACTATATTAGCTGTATGCATTATAAGTGGAAACCATTTTTTTTAAACTAATTTTGTATATTTTCTGTGGTCAAGAAACTACTTTAACCATAAAAATGACTGTTTCATGTTCTGACTCATAATTTTGCAGAAATCTGTTGCTCTTGATGGACAGATTGCTTCTGTGCTTAAACATTTTCTTGTACTCTTAAAATTATGTAGCAAATATTTCCTTAATCATCAGAAAACTGACGTTTTAATTGAACAGACACTCTCTGGTGGGCGGTGTGGAATCCAACAGAGCAATGTGTGGTAACTGATCAAGACTTCTTACCGCTTAACCTTGGCTTAGCCACTAGTGTGTTTTTCCCTCCCTGCCAGCATTATTCAACAAGATTTAACTTGAGATAAAATGTTTCCTTGGAGGTGAGCTATCCTTGTCTGCTCATCATTCAACAAAAAAAGCAACCAAAATGATTGGAGAGATTTCTTTGATCTAAAATCACATTTGCAGCCTCCATTTTCTTCATTTGTGCCTGTGAGAGAAGTTGAAAATGCAGAGTGGTACAGAAGTAAAATCAAGTTCCTTTTGAAAATCACCCCTGCAGACCTCATTCCCTGTCTCTAATCAGGCTGACTGCATTACATGACAATTGTCCAATTACTCAGACTGATCTCAAATGTGTTACTATTGAAAGGAATTGTTTATAATAAATATTAATGTTTGTTCCACTAAGTACCTAATGCCCCCTCTAACTGCTGATTCCCTGTCTATTACAGCTTCATTGACAAAGTCAGCAATTTGTTTTTGTTGTTTTTACCCTTCTCTACTCCATTATGGTCACAGCCTGCAAAGGTCTAATTTGCTAGAGTGATGTGGTCAGGATATTAGCATCATGGTTACCAGTTCATTCCAGAGAGTACTGTTTAAAAACATTAATTGAAACTCAAAGTAGGTACAGGCTTGCATGTTGTATTAACAAATGTTTCCTCAAATATACAGTAATTGTCAAAAATCCCTCAATGTGCCAAGATAAGATATCATGCTTTTGTTTTTAATGTGCTCTGGGAATCCGAGGCCTCACACTAGCACTGCGTAATGTATCTTCAGAAACATAAAATCATACCATTGACCAGAGCAGTGTCAGTGATATTCTGCTCATGCATTCTGCTATGCAGGTGCCAGGTTATTTAAACGTTCAGTAAGTTGCAACTGGAAACTACTGTTGCAGTATTATTTTCTTCTGGCTTTTAGGAAAGATGGGAAAGAGCAAAAGTGCTTGGTGCAGAGCTTAGTTATCCTTTGTATCACTAAGAATTAATAATAATCATCATCATCCCTTACGCTTTTCTGGACACTCCACTCAAAGCACTTTACAGGTAATGGGGACTCCCCTCCACCCCCAGTGTGCAGCATCCACCTGGATGATGTGATGGCAGCCATAGTGCACTGGACTAGTATACTCCCCACACACCAGCTCTCAGTGGGGAGGAGAATAGAGTGATGAAACCGGATCTTAGAAGGGGATTATGCCAGGGTAACACCCCTACACTTTTGGGAGAAACATCATGGGATTTTTAATGACCACAGTGAGTCAGGACCTCAGTTTTACATCTCATCTGAAGGACAGGACCTTTTTACAGTTTAAGCTTCCCCGTCACTATCCTGGGGCATTAGGACCCACACAGATCGCAGGGTGATCGCCCCCTGCTGGCCCCACTTACACCTCTTCCAGCAGCAACCTTGTTTTTTCCCAGGAGGTACTGACCTGGCTCATGCCTGCTGAGATTCAGTTGGTTGCCAGTTGTGAGTTGCAGAGTGATATGGCTGCTGGCAAGTTAACACAATGCAAGATTTTTTACAGAACGGCTATCCACTCTTGGTCCTGGAGGGCAGGTGGGTTTTTTAGGTTTCTTTAAATCTGTAGGCCTGAAAAGCCATTAAATTGGTTTAGGTCGGCGTGTAACCATCTGATTTAGCTCAATAAAGGCTAGATAGGAATGAAAACCTGGTGACACACTTAGTCCTCCCCAGACCAGGACAGGATAGCCCTGTTCTAGAAGGCCACAGCCAGACAAAGAGAAACGAGAACACATTGTGCGTAGTTTCCCTGTTTCAAAGAGTAGGAAAAGTAATGGAGTGCAATGATAGAGTTTTGGTCCACTGATGGGTAATGCAATGTTTGAATCAGCCATGGCTGGTTCAAAGGTCCAAAAAGCACTACTAACAGTCCCTTCTGTTTTCTTCCATTCCCAGAGGAGCTGGTATAGGACAGAGAATGAGTACTATCTGCTGGTCTTCAGCCTGGCCATCTCCTGTCTGCGTTACATCAGCTTCAGCCTGGACTACTGCTGGCAGGCCTCAGAGGAGAAGAGCCTGGACTCCTTCTTCTGGCTGTCTGCCTATGTCTTCTACCACCCCTTGTTTAGCAACGGACCCATCATGAATTTTGGAGAGTTCACTCGACAGGTGACGGATCCTTTTTCATTACGACAGACAAGAAAAGGGGGGTGCTGTTCTGAAGGGGACTGGGGCTTGTCTTTGTGAGAGTGAAGTTGTTAGGCTTGGCAAGGATTGTGTGAGGTTCACATGAGAGAAAATAATTAATTTATTTGAACAGTTAAAGGTGTTTATTTTTGTTTTGAATTTGAATTTTGTTTTTAAGCGATATCGTTTTTCCCCACAAACACATTTTTCTGAGCTAATGGAAGCAATTGGACTTTCTTAATACTGCTAATGCTGCCTTCATTTTTATATGTGGCTGAGTGGGTTTCTGGCTTGATGTAATTTCTACTAATGCATTATGGTCCCTTTCAAATGGCTAAAATGGGTTCATGAAATTATTCATGTTCCCTCCAATGTGTGTTGTCTGTAGTTGGGCGATACAGCAGTGTTTCAGAGTGTTACTTAATTAACTGTTGCACAGATAATTTTGTACATGTACTCCAAAATAATAAAACTAACACACATTAGTGTAGTTACTGATTGGAAAGCTCACCTGAAAAAATCATCCAAAGCCGCCAACTTACTATTTGCAAACGTCTTAGACAAAAATAATTACCAAATCACTAGATAGTGAATCCTTGCACTACTGTAAATGCATTTTATCCCCTCTAAAGTTCGTTATAGGCAACTAGTTCATTGTATTTTTTCTGTGGTTAAGATGAGAATTCTCATTATCAGGATATACGGTACACATAGAGGCAGTATCCATGTTTTGGAGTTTATATACTGCATTTCTCACAAGAAGCAATACGAAATGGCATTTTATCCTGCATCTGTGAAAGCATAAAGGCCTGAGTCTAAGATTTACAGAGCTCTAGGAATACCTTGCTTCATATTAAATTGAATTTTTTGTTTTGGATCTCTGGTGAAGCCTGTCCCGGCAAGCAACTGGTGCAAGGCAGGGTAATCCCTGAAATTTAACCAAGCGCACTGTGAGGCAGCTAACCGCTGCACCACCAGGCAGGCCGAGATGCAGTACAAATGCAACAGATTCGTCATTAATTCTGTCTTGAAACTACAGTACATGACATTTCGAGCAGATGGTGCCTCACAGCCTGTAGCGACAGATAAGAGATCAAGTGCCGAGCAGCTCCGACATGCCGAGTCAGATGAGAAGAACAGCCGCTGATGGACGTTTTCCCATGTCGCACACGAGACTGCTGGTTTAGTAGCTTCAACGTGTCTCGGTAAACTGAATATTGAAGCTGTCGTTTTCATTTCAACATTGATGTGTTTGTGTTTAAAAAAAAACAAACAATAACTTATTTGAGTCTCAATTGCCCATAAACCTCAAAGAATTATGTTTCCCTTTCACAGTATGGAAGCATGCTGACTCAGTAGTTCAGAGGAAGGCTTTTTCTTATTTTATATTATTGAAATCCATAATAAGAGTTTATTTGATGCTTTCCAAATCCTTAGACAAACAGCTTCACTTGGTTTTTGTGATATATTCTGAGCATCACTGTACAGGGGACCTGAGGTTTCATTTATGTTTATGCTACAATGTGACTAATGTATAGTCACTGTATAATGTCATGTCATGTCATGTACCAAACCACTTTATACCATACGGTGTCGCGGGAAGCCGGAGCCTACCCGTCAAGCAGAGAGCGCAATGCAGGGTACACCCTGGACAGGACACCAGTCCATCGCAGGGCAACTTCAAGCCAATCATACAGGGGGACAATTTAAAGGCCATGGTAAAGGGGATCTTTAATGACCACTGAGAGTCAGGACCTTGGTTTAACGTCTCATCTGAAAGACAGCGCCCACTATAGTGTAGTGTCCCCACCACTATTCCTGGGCATTAGGACCCACACGGACCGCAGGGAGGGCACCCCCCCACTGGTCCCACTAACACCACTTCCAGCAGCAACCATAGCTTCCCATAGTCTCCCATCCAGGTACTGACCAGGCTCAACTCTGCTTAGCTTCAGTGGGTAGCCAGTTGAGAGCTGCAGAGTGATATGGCTGCCAGCTATCACTGTATAATTAATATTATACTGTATAATTTTATTAACATAATGTATAGTCACTATGTATATTGCATGGGCTCCTTGTATAATTTACAAAAAAACAACAGTAAGTAAGCAAACATGCTTTCATATTAGAACATCCAAACAAATAAAAAACTATTTCAATCAGGTTTAAGTGAGCATTGTCGAGGTGGCTGTGACCTGAAAATCTAAGAGTTTGTTGCTAAGTGGAGGTAATTCATACTGACGTGGCTAAAAACAAGACGCGCTTATGCTGCAAAACACTAGCAAACCAGAAGAATTTTTTTCTAAAATGTGAATTATGCTTTTAATTCAGCGGGGGATTTTTTGTGCTGTGTATTTACTTTTTTTTTCAGATGACTTAGCATTCGTTTTGCTCTACGATGGCTGAGGCAATAATGAAGTTTCGAAATCTATATTGTCCAAAGGGCATGACTCGGTCAGGTTTAGTGTGTGAGAAAATGTTTACTACTGTAATGGGGAAATTGAATCTGTAGGTAAAGTACAATCATAAATACTAACAGTGCGACAACAATATGTACAGAATTAAAGTTATAAACTGTTGCTTGTATTGAAGTCATCATAGCTTCAAAAAAATCTTAAGGTGACTCCCGACTGTCAACTGATAGGTGCATTTCCTGAATGCAGGTGGAGCTCTATAGTCCTGGGTTGGAGCCTGAGTCATGTCACTAGCCCACTGTGACAGGAATGCCCCAAGCAACAGAGCACTATTGACTGAGTGCCGCCTTGGCTAGGGTGTGTAGTCAGCCAGGATGCTCTCGGCTCCCAGTGACACAGCCTCATTTAATGGCCTCATAGGGGTCTTACAGGCATTCAGTGCTGTCGGTGAGGGGCATGCCTCTCCTCCAGTTACTCTGAATATCCCGAACGGAGTCAAATAGACTTTTAAAAGACAAGCGGTGGTCAAGTCAGAGGAATCTGCCCACTATTCCTTATCCTCCCCGTGTGCGGTCACGTGGTCCACTGCCGAGAGCCAATATGTGAAAAACACACCAATGGCTAATCCAATTTGGGTACAACAAAAATAAAAAATAAAAATGGACATTCTAGATAATTGGTGCATTCAGCACCCAGGGGCTGGCATTGGTGGTGTTTAGCACTGAGTCTTTACTTGGAGTGAGATATGTACTGTCTGTAATTTACTGTGCATTACTCTGTGTAAACTCAGTATGCAGCAGAAAAACTTTCTTTTGCCCTTTAGTAGCCAACATTATTTTATCAGAAATCAAGCACAACAACGCAACGATGGCCAACCTCCTTAATGTTTCACTGACAGATGCAGAAGCCACATTCAAGAGTTGTCAGACTGGACACCTGGGCTGTGCTTGTGAGCCTCGCACGGCTGGTCGCCTGGTGGATTCTAGCAGAGGCTATGGTTTGCTTCATGTACATGCACGCTGTGCAAAGCAATGAGACCTACTTGAAGATCATGCCATCTTGGGCTTTAGGTGAGTATATATCAAGAGCATAGTAATATTTCCTCCTTTCACTGCATGTACTGTTTGAATGAACTACTCTAGATCATTAGTTGATGATATGCAGTAGAGCTAGTTCATTGCATTTTTCACTTTTTAAGCAGTAAGTTGACCTGTTGTCTGTCCATCCGTTTTCTGAACTGAAACTAAGCTCATACTCGGTTTTCTAAACGAAACTCAACTTGACTCAATTGGTCATCTAAATTCATGACCAATTCAGGGTCGTGTGGGGGTGGGGGCCTATCCTGGGACCTTGGACAGGATGCCAGTCTATTGCAGACTGTAGGTCTAAAGATGGCTTACTGTATGTTCTATGTGCTTTTATGTTCCCTTCAAGCCTGTGCTAGACCTTCCCTCCTGATATATAGTAAAAACATTTACTGCTGTATTTGCTAGAGAAGGGACTCAAGACCTTCTTACTCTACAATGACTTCCTTGTGAGAGATTTCTGTGGTGCACAGTATAAATGTTAACTAAGTAATTTACTATTTGTTTTCACATCTGTGCCTACTGTGAAAGTCAACATTAAGTTTATGAGGTGAGTCTGTGTATGGCTGCATTTAGAATAAAAGAAGCTCATGTTTAACAAGCAAACGATAAGAAAAAGTTATGTATCCCAAATGCATAGCCAATTTTAAACCTAATACTGAGCAGTCTGTTATTGTAAGTGCTAATTTAAAATGCAAAGTTTAGCATTGCATATAATTGTTGTAAATGCAGAGTTATGTATATACATTAGGCTTGATTTATGGGGCTGTGATTGCCAAACAAAGAGACAGATCTTAACACAGAAGAATACTTAAGCTACTGAATACAAAATTGGACTTCTAGCTGATTTATAGTAAGCGCTGCTGGGTCCTGTTGTGAATTGTAAGAGGTCTGGAGATTGGATATCAGATCTAGAGCAATGTGCATCATGTTGTTGTTGCTTTACATCTTAGACAAGATAGAAACGAGTTATGCTCATCCTCCAAGAATAGCAAGTCTGCAATATCAGACAAGACAAGAGGAAAAATAGAACCACCTTTCTTTTCTGCACAGTAGTTGGAGGTGTGCAGTGCCTTTTCTCCCAGCTCTCTGCTGCAGCTCCTGCAGAAGTCCGAGACAGACGAAGGCTGAATTATATCTTCTCTGTAATGGCTATTAGTCAGGCTGCCTGCTACAAACACCAGTGTCCGATTGTGTCCGTTAGAAGGCTGACATACCTTTTACTGAGCAGTGACAAGAGTCTCTGAGCCTGGACTCCCTGTTGAGTTTCACTGTGCTCGCCATGGCTGTAGTCCATCACCTCCATAAGTGATGGACTTGCCATAAGTGGCATGAAGCAGAGCCTGTGTTCCATCCCAGTGGGCCCAAGTTGTCCGATCAGTCCTGCATTCTGAGAGGAGACCTCTACTGCAAGATCAGTACTGTAGGAACTGAAAGTTTTGATAAGTATAATTATTTGTTCATTCTGCACCAAGCTATCATAGTAAGGTTATTCCTGTCTTTCTTTGCCTGAAATTTGCAGGGGTGGAAAATTGAAAATTGTAAACTTGTAGTCCCTAGGTGGAGCCACAGTCTATTTTGGTTTTCACACTGGGCTTAAGCTCTCAGTTCTTGATTTCGTTTAGTCATTTGCTCAATTGGTCACGTTTTCAACATTCTCGCTGGTTTTTATGTTTCAAGATGCCATGCAGTACGTGGAAAGAAACATTTAATTTGTTCAATTAATTAAAGTCTGAGACTAAACAAGGAAACTGAAAGCTCAGCGCTGAACAAAATCCACAGGGCTCTGTGCCCATCAAGATCTCCAAGTGTTGCTTACCCAAAACACCTTATTAAAAGATTGAAATCGTGCCTTTGTCCGGGAGCTTAATTACTGATTCGGGTGTTGTCTGGTTGGAAGAGTGTGCACAGTACCTCATTATCCAAGTTCTTTCAATGGGAAATCGGGAAGCATTAAGCAGTTGTCCCCAGTTTATAGAACAATACATCGGTGCACATTTGGCTGCAAATGGAACAACAGAAATGGGAAGATCTAATTCCAGCTTGTGTGAGGGTTCCTGGACTGATGACCGATTCTGAGTCGGAAAGGAAAATCTGTTTTAGCTCCTTTCTTTATGCGTCGGCTTTCATCTTCACGAAACGCTGTGAATTTTAATCGCGCTCACGGTATTATGATTCCAACAGAGTTTATACTCTGCAATGAGCCGTAACTCTTCCCTGTGTGGCTCTGTCGCTGGTGACTGTGGGTGCTTTTTTCACAATACAGCTGCCTTTTAGATCTGAAACTACTGTCAAAGCACATCGATTCTATAGCCAATAAACAATTGTGCATTGCACTGTTGCTTTAGATAGTAAAACATCAGCACCACAGGTGATGAAACTAACAGGTGACAAATACGAATCTAAAAATGGGCAGCTTAGAATAAAGTAAATATAAGCAGCGCTGATATATATATATAGTCAGTGTCCTGGGATTCTTTTAACAGTGCTGAGAACATTTGTTTTTATAGCTAGACATCATTCACAATTCTAGCAAATATAACTTGAAACATTTTATACTAGAAGAGGACTGGATGACAAACATTAAACTTATGTTTCAGCATTCCCACAAGTGTGGCAAGTACAGATGTAATTTTACATTAACCGAATCACACGAAGTCTGAGACAATTTGTATTCTCGACTCTTCAGGTTCTCCTTCTTTCCTTGGCAACTGAATACTATCGGGATTTTCTCCTGAAACTGTAGCCATTTTGTTTTACACTGACAGTTAAACCTAAAGAAATATTTTGACATCTTTTAGCTTTATTGATGTGTAGAGAGAAACTGATGTTGGTTATGGTGATGAACCTTCAACAACGAGACAGTTAGATCTGATTGGAGAATGTGATGGATTAGCTAACACAACACTTCATATTGCCTGCTCATATGTAGTTGAACTACAGTTGTTGCCATCATGTTTTGAGGATTTTGATCGATTTTGCTAAATGACATGTTTAGTTTCTTCTTATCCAGACCAGGCTGCGTTAGTAAGACTCGTAATCATGCTGTCATAATAGTACCAAACGGTTCTGGAGACTTTGAATGCAGTGTTGATACTTGTGTACTATAAGATGCAGTATCGTAACTCCTCATTGTGTCTGAGATGAAGATTTTAACACAGTGGTGTAAATGTGTAATAATGATGCATTAACGGTCCTTGTCTGTAGTGGTGCAGGCTCTCTCAGCTGCCAGCCTTTCTTTTCTTCTGCCTGAATGTTTAATTCAGGATCTTCATTTCAGCCTCTAATTTCCTTCCATCCAGCCTGAGCTCCTCCTAGCCATATGCTGAATCCATTAATAACTCTATTGCTCTGTCTCAGGTTGTGAAAAAGCATTGTACACATCTAGGAAGAGACACTGAAGGTGAACCAGAGAGCATAACCGAATCAGTGTGAAACATCATTTATTATTATTGCTTAAAATCCCCAGGGTGACATAAAAGTATGCAATAATACAGTCACTAAATCCCAAATAAATCTTTCCAATGCAATAAAAACATAATAATAGAAATGCCAAGAAAACAGCAGTGAGAAAGACGCACGTTAGGAGTGCAATGTCAGAGGGAAAACAATGTCTATTGAGCGGTAAACAACATGTAGTTAGGAATCATTGATTACAGTAAAAAAAAGACCGGCACTGAGCGGAGTGTTGCATCAGTTGGTGGCTAAAGTTCACACTGGCGTGAGAGAGATCGCATCTGTTTAGATTTTTTAGCTGTCTAGACAGATGGGTCTTGAGAAGGTGCTGAAAAGTGGTCAGGGTCTGAGCTGTTCGGATTTCATTGTTCCAGTCCTGCGGGACTGGGGATGAGAACGAACAGGCCCTGGAGGAGGCTGGAGGGGAGGAGCAGACAGTCTGGTGGAGGAGGAGAAGGAGCACAGCTGCCAGTAGGGGGAATAGAGAGAGATGAGGCACTGGAGGGAGACGGGGGCCGTGCGCTTAAGGCAGCTGCAGGCAAGGGAGGGTGTTTTGAAATGGACTCGTGCAGCCATTAGCCAGGGAGCTAATGGAGAGAACTGTTCCAGTGTGGCATAAGAGAACTGCAGAAGACGTAACAGGGTCCTGAAGCCTCCTGCCTTTTCTGTGTCTCAGTGAATTTCTACACCGGTGAGGGTGATCTAAGAGGTTTCAAGTGTTTTCAACTGTTCAGTCCCCTGTCCTCACGTTCAACATGCAAGCCTGGTGCAGGACTGTGCCAGCTGCCCATGTGATGCCACCTGCATCCACAGCAGAGACTTCCTGCCAGCCTGGCAGCCTTTTAGCCAACGACAGCAGCAGCTGGCTGACTGTTTTCAACTCCGAAACTGCAAGTTTAAAGACCTGCCTGGCTGGAAACAGTAAAGGAAAAACAGCAGCCATGTTACTTAAAATCCAAGAAATACATGAAATTTGCTGTACGTTTTTTCTGGAGTTCTCTTGTTTACCTAAAGGCTGTTACTGAGGCAGGAATGAAGAGTAACACCTTTTACAAAAACCGCAGTGACGCTTTTAAATCTCAGTTGTGGAAAGAGGAGGATGACGTTTTGTGCTTTGATTCTGTGACATTTTTTATTAATCCCATAAACCCAACACATTTTGGTTTTAAGCGTAATTCATTTTTCATTTTAACAAATTGTATCGCTTATTATGCATGGTAAATGCTCAGTTACGACATTTGTACAATGGGTGATATTTCAAGTGGAGTAATGCTGACCACTTCCCGGTCATAGGAGTAATTAAAATTGATGGTCATCTTATTGCTTTATGAGCAGCACTTTTAAACAGCAGCTAGGGGAAAAAAACGAGGAATGGGCTTCTTTTTTCACCCCTTATGCAGATGAGATGGAAGCCCCCATATTGGAGTTTTGGGAAAAATATGCAGTTATTGCAGTATGATTTATGTGTGTCCTTGCAGCCCAGAAACCATCTAAATGGAAATTAAATCCCGTTAGAGAACACTTAAGTCCAGATACATATATATTGTTTCATCACACAGCAAGTCCCACATGGGTAAGGGATGGGATATATCTTTCCACATATCGTGTTTCATGAACTGTTCAACCAGCGCTTGATTCATCCCAGAACTCGTCTCCCCTTTTAAATGAGAATCTTATTGACTCGCTTTTCAACCCCATTAAATCATATATTAATTTGGGTCCCACATAAAAAGCTAAAGTGAGCTAAAGTGATGCTTGGAAAATGTGTGTGATGCTTATTTTTTTAAATGATGGTGGTTGTTACCAAACCATGCCCATCTAGTCAAATGTTTTGGACTATTTTCATTTATTCCCTCTTCAGTCAGAATCGCCAGTTGTGTGGGATATTTTAAAGATAATCAGCTTTGTAGTCACCCCTTAGACAAAACTGTATTTTTTTCTCTTGCTAAATAGTTTATTTTCAGACAAATGGTGTGGGAAGAATGCTAATTCATTCAAAATCGCAATGCTGACCTTTATCTGAAAATAGGTAAACTATGCTCACGTAGTAGGGTGGTTAACTGATTTGTGAATCTCCAAGGCTTTAGTCTTTAGCGGTTGATATAGACTTTGAGGAATTACATTACACAGTTTAACCTATTAAGCTGGCCGTATTGCATTGTGTCTCTGACAAAACAAAAGCTTTATTTCACCTGTTATGTCCTGCCAGTAGAAAAAGTCTATGAATGTGGGATTGTGGCCTGGCGGAACAGCAAAGTTAAGTCCAAAAACATGAGACTCTACAACTGACACTAGGTGGATGCTGAGCTCCCAAAGAGCCTGATGTGAATGGTGTACAACTAAAAATCTCGGCCACATTCCAGGTGCACTTATCGCAACGTTTCCCTTCCTGTGAATAAAACAAGAACTGCTTTTTCGAGTGTCACTTCCCATGAATAACATATCTCACTCACTCGTTGCCCTTAAAAAAGTTTTTAAAACAGAATTTTTTGTATCTAATAAAACCATATATACAAACATTGCATAAAACAATCATTTGATGACCTACTGTAATAACATCAGAATATTCAAAATAGGTGCAGAGAGACCTCTCTGAAGTTCTATGTCCTGCTGACTGTAAATATTGTTGTACAATAAGAATTATTTTTGCAATTTGTCTATCAGACGAGGCATTCCTACCACATACTGTATGAGCACTTCAACAAAAACAGTAATTACAGGCCATAAAGGGTGAATGTCACATTCTGTATAGGCAACATATTCCTAAACAACAAACATTTTTATTCTCATGATAATAGATTTTTTTCTCAACAAATCAGGCCTGTCTTGAGATACCCAATCTTGTCAGAATCAAAACCTTACATTTAAATTCTACATGATTGGTTCAGGCTCCTTAGTTTTTCTAACCTCGCCTTCTGTTATTATAATTCAGTCACACAGCTGCCGTCTTGAAACTTGGCCTGTTTTGTGTTTCAGTTGGGAAAGCAGACATTCCTCCATAGTTTCCTGTGATGGCTTGAAAACTTTTAGATACTGTAGATCCTGTTCTAGCTTGTTTGAGAAACTAGTGGATTCTTGCTATTCACAGATGATTATTTCCAAACCCAATACTAGGTTCAGAAAATATTGAATAAAGGTGCTGACATTGTATCTTAATAGTATAATATTTAATAATAATTCCTTACACTTATGTAGCATTTTTCTAGACAATCCACTCAAAGCGCTTTACAGGTAATGGGGACTCTTCTCCACCACCAATGTGCAGCCCCACCTGGATGATGCAACGGCAGCCATAGTGCACCAATATGCTCACCACACACCAGCTCTCAGTGGGGAGGAGAGCAGAGTGATGGGGCCAGTTCAGAGATGGGGATTATTAGGAGGCCATGATTGATAAAGGCCAGGGGGAAATTTGGCCAGGATGTCGGGGTTACACCCCTACTCTTTTTGAGAAACGCCCTGGGATTTTTAATGACCACAGTGAGTCAGGACCTCTGCTTTCCGTCTCATCCGAAGGACGGGACCTTTTTACAGTACAGTGTTCCCGTCACTATACTGGGGCATTAGGACCCACACGGACCGCAGGGTGAGCGCCCCCCACTGGCCCCACTAACACCTTCCAGCAGCAGCCCCAGTTTTTCCCAGGAGTCCCCCATCCAGGTACTGACCAGGCTCACACCTGCTGAGCTCCAGTGGGCTGCCAGCTGTGAGCTACAGGGTGATATGGCTGCTGGGGTAGCACTCTAGGCTGTTGATTAAAGATTGAAATGCTTGCTTGTTCCAGGTGGCCTTGCCTTGGCCCAGGTGCTGTTCTTCTATGTCAAGTATCTGGTGCTGTTTGGGGTTCCTTCGCTCGTTGTTCGGCTGGATGGCATTGAGTCCCCGAAGCTGCCTCGGTGTGTCAGCACCATGTACAGCTTCACTGGGATGTGGAGGTGAGGCAGTCTTCCCTTCTCTTCCTTTGTTTACAGGGGAGTTACACAAACCCAAATCTTTTTATCTTCATTGGATAATAAGGAAATAATTTGGCCAGGATCTGTTTTCGCCCCTGGGTTCTGGTAGGAGGTATCACAGTATCAGAACACTGACGAATAGATTCAAAAACAGTTACTTCCCCCAAGCAGTCTACATCATAAACAGCTCAAATTCGCACCTGCACATATTAGCTCCTGCACTTTAAGGTTCTGCACTGTTTGCACTATGTCCTTTTGGCTGGTTTTCTAACATCTATTGTCTAATTTATTGTCCATGTCTGTTTGCCTTTTTTTTCCTCTAATGTTACTGGGTACAGCTGAACGAGTAAGCATCCCAATACACTTGTTGTATATGGCAAATAAAGAAATCTTGAATCTTAATTGCTCTTTTCTAGGATAATACTGTCCATCCATTTGATAGATTCAATTTAAGCTTGACGCATGAATGAACAATTGAGGCTTTTGAGAACATTACAATTAACATGTTTGTACATAAAACTGCTTTTTAATGAACTGGCATGCAGAAAATATGCTGAGTTGTTTTAAATCTGATTCAAGGGCTGTTCATTTTAAAATTGTAATGAAAATTCATAAAAAAAACTACGCACTATATAAACTAGTGGTAATGCTGGAAACAAAGCTGGAAAAGTTTTTCACGATTTTCTATTTTTAAACACTCTAAAAGTATGCTGTATTGAAACTATGAATTGAAAATAATATTCAATGTGGTTAGAATGCTAACCACAATATCAGATATTTTAAAAATCATGAGTCTCTGAAAATCCATCTTCTACACCTGATTCACTTTTCATTAATATGCATAATATAAGATTTTGAAGATCAATTATTGATATAGTGGATTTGTAGATGAAGGGTGGTGTTCCACTACAAATAGTTTCCCATCATGACATCCTCCAGTACAGCTGCCCTTACAAACAGGGGGTGTGTGTCACTGACATTTCAACAGGCACCTATCCAGCAGAATGCAGCAAGGGCAATACTGAATGTGTCCTGCAGGGGGCACAGTAACCCAACTTTTATGATTACAATACACTGCAAAATAGTTCAGGGCAGGGGTGTCGAACCCCATTCCAAGGGACCAGTGTTTTCTGTTTTTTTTTCCAACCAGAGCTGTCAAATAAAAAAGAATCATTATTTTCTTATACACATATAGGAAGTTTTCTTTTACAGCTGACAACTCAAAACATTCACTTCATTGAAAGCACAGTTACTGTATGTGCAACTATTACACTCATGCAGTTGATTTAAGAATTAGACCAGATATGCAACTGAAAGATCAGGTTGAAAAAAAAAACAAGAAAACGCCCTTGGTTTTATGAAGTATAATTTGCATATGTGTGCAGCACGATAAAAAGTTGCTTAAAGTAAACATCCACATTCTATACATGTATAGTAAATGTTAAAATAAATACATACATAAGCCTTTATAGATTTTATAACCATGTTATACACACAGTATATTTTGTTTTGCGCAAAATGATTCATGACCAGAAAAAAAACCCTGCAGCAATCATAGCGTTTTGAAAAAGATTAGTGATTTTATGTTTCTTGTTGAGGGCGTGAGTCATTTCTACTCTATGAGTTTTGAGAATGCTGTTCACACCAGTTTGTGTATTTGGTTGTTAAATATGACTTAGTTAATGTTTCTTTGACCACTCAATGCATTGAGATTGAGTCTTGCTGATATCCAGCTTAATCGACCTGCATTACTCTTTACACCTGGTATCCAAGCCATTGCCCTAGAATGTGTAGTTGTAAATTAACTTAGTAGGAACTGTAGAAATAGGAAATGCTGCATGAATATAAACACATGGGTTTAATTGTTAGTTTTGGTGCTTGCGTTTGTGTGCTTAACACTCCATTTTACAGCAGTCTGCATCTGTTCCTGATGCTTGTCCTTGCTTGCCTTCTCCCTAGTTAATTCACCTCCAAAAGGGCCACATAGCCTTCTCGTCTGAGTGAAAAACATCTGACATACAGTACCAAATCTGACATCATAAACCATGTGACATAACACAGAGCTCTGGAAACCTGCCCTTAGTCCTAAGTAATGGCTTCCTGGAAATTGGTTTTCTTAATTAATAATGTGTCTCAAGTGCTCACATCTGCACAGTTTACAGTTGTCACGTTCCGTTTTTCTAAATGTGTGATGCCGTGACCTCGTATGATTCCTTTTCTTTCTTGCTACACCAGGATCTTATATAGTAGGCTTCAATCAAAACTCGGCACATTTCACACTGGACATCTCAAAGTCTGCCAACCTCTTTTTTTAGGAGCTCTGTTGTATACTATAGCTTTTGCTCCCTTTCTAGATCCCAGCTTCCATGGAGAAAGGTCTGTGGTTCACTGGAAGAAACATTTGTGGGATTTTGACAGTATACTTTCCTCTCCACAAACTTCCACGAATGACTTTTATGCATGTACATGTAGGCAACAGTAATCATCTGCAGGAGGCTCACTGGCAGAGGAACAAGGTCCTGAAGAGAAGTTTTCTTTGTTTGTACAGTAACTTTACTTGCAAGAGGTTTACGATAGACGTAATGAGCTAAAGAAAGGAAGTGAAATGAGTGAAGCAGACCGGCATTGTTGGGTACAAAACACAACATGTTGAAGCACATGGCCACAGGTTGCAGGTAGTGCAGGACTGGCTGAGCATGTCCCAGTTTCAGCGCCTCTCCCTTAGCAAATGCAATCGTATCCCTTTGTCATGGAGTTACTGTACCGAACCCCTAACCCTCTCACAGAAATACACAGAAAAAAATCTACTAATGAGAGTAATTAGATCCGGCAGGTTACCAGTTGCTTATTGATCCAAATATCTCATTGAACATTTTGTTAAATGGAGGCTGGTCCTAAACGCAGATCCCTCTATTCTGTCAAAGACACTGCATTTCTTCTAATCTGAGCTATATTGATCTTTGTGTTCATTTTTGCTAAAAAATCTATTTCTTTTGCAGTTTTGTAGGTTGAATATTCTAATACGGGCTGAATTCTCTTTGGTATTGAATGCGAGTGTGCTGTCAGAAATCTGATCTCAAAAATTGGTTTCGAAGCAGTGGAGGTATTCCGGCTCATTTAGCTCATTTGGATGACATGGTAGAAGGCAGACAGGGAATGGGATGAAGGTAGAGAGATGATGTATAACTATTGAAGGGGGAGAATGCTGATAGCAAGGATATGGGCATAGATAACCATCTCCTCTTGGCAGCCTGGTGTGTGGCATGTCACTGCTGTCGCGTGCCATTTCCTGTTCTTCATTGAACGCGTTTGCTTTCCTTCCATTGTAAGCACTTTCTCCCTCCTCTTTGATATCTGAAGCGGCATGTCACTGGCATGTCTCTTCGTGTTTGCTCTGAGAGGATTTTGGACACTCTTTTTAGGTCTTTTTCCAAGATATAATTTCAAATGTGTCTTCAAAAGTTCCATTGTGCTTTATGTTTTTGATGTGCTAGCGGATTTATTTATTTTTTTAACTGTCAAACCTTAATTTGTTTTTTGTTTTCTGGCTTAGCATCATGGCCAATTCCTATTCCTTTGCTTTGATTTCTTATACAGTACATTGTATTCTAGATTATTCAGAGTAATCGTGTCGGCATAGGCACACCAGGATAGTTAACTTGTTAATAATGGATGGGTTTTACAAATATTTTATATATGTTTTTTGAAATTTCACTACTTGCTCTTTAAATCTTAACTTTTTTAAGCTGCTGTTGATCTGAGCTTTAAAAATCTATACAAGACAGGCGTTCTCTGGAGCTCTTAAAGACTCTGCAAGCAGCACTGAAAATGACTACAGCATGTGACAAAGTAGAAAAAATCCCAGTGGTGATTCACTTTGGGATACTGCAACATGTTAAGATTTGAGCTACCGAAATTTTGACGTATTACTGGTGCATGGTCAATCACCTGTAAATCCATTGAACTGAACACAGAAACACCTCATCAATGAGGGGAGAACTTGAGCATTTTGCAAATATTAATGTTATCTTTTTCTTATGAGAAATAAAAAAGGAAAATGAACAGCTACAGACAAAGCTTAACACAACTCGTTCAGTAGGGTACATTTATTGTGCTTTGAAAGGTTCACAGCATTAAAATATTGCACTGGATTTGATGAGTTGAGTTGAGAGAAAACTCCAGAATATACCTTTGTAGCTGTTGCAGTCTAAGCAGTTTTGACTGTGCTTTTAAGATAACAAATACTTATCTGATGGACTGAAAAATCACATATAACTTGTTTTTCTTATTTGGTAAGCAAATTAAATGCTATAAGATTAATCAGGTGTCGTGCCTCAGTGTCTGTAATAAAAGGAATAAGCTTGGTGCTCAGTTTTTATCATGTTCAGTTTTAGTTTAGACAATTTTGGAGGATTATAGCTTAAAGTCAGTAATCCGAAGAACATCTGAGATTTTGGCAGGATGCACGGAACAGGTTTTTCCAAGTCAAACATTCAATAATTCTGCATGTCATTGGAAACTATGAATGTTTTCCATTCGATTGAATGGCAAATAAGGGTAGCATTTACTCAGCTCACTAAACATTTATTTTATTGAAAGGAGCATGACCACACTTTAAAGACTTCTAAATTATCATAAAATTCAAACTATCCTTAACAGAATACTGATGTCTCATAATAGTTTGTATTGTCATGCATTGTTTATATTCAGAATGCGTTTTTTCTAGATCAGGTAAACACAAAGTTGCAATACTGATTTTCCCTTTAATGTTTAGAGTAGGACTGTGCAATTATATAAAAGTAAAACGTGTACTGTAGTACAGTAATATTTTACTGTATGTAGTGAGTCTTATAGCACTTCATATAAATGTGCAGTACTATATAGAGCATCACATATCAGTGTACTTGACCATATTGAAAATATTGTCAATAGTACTGCAAAGCTCATGTTTTATGATATAGACACAAGACTGAAATTGGCCT